ATGTCTGGGCTCCCTGGCTGGTTCAGGCAGTTAATGTAGTTGGCTGCTAACTGAAAGATTGAAGGTTCAAATCCAGCTAGAAGTATAGTCACCACATGAGAGACTTCAAGCCAGAACAATCCAGATAACCAGCCACAAATTCCTGACCCACATAAACTGTGAGATAATAAATTGTTATTGTTTTAGCATTAATTTTTAGGATTTGTTAAACAGCAGTAGATAACTAACACAATAGTGAATTATTATGACTTTCTCAAGACCCAAAATTGTATCCTCTCCTTTCCATTTTGGACTTGTTGATACATCACAATTTGATAAGGGTCAGAGAAAACAAGAGAAACCGTCAATGAGATGGATTGACACAACAGTTACAACAATGGGCTCAAACATACAACGATCGTTTTGTTTTGTTACGCATAAGGTCACCATGAGCCAGGGCTGAAAGGACAGCAACCCTCCCCAGCGACAATTCTCCCCACCCCTGGCCCCTCTGTGCTGCCCAGCATTCTTCCCTGGGCTCTACTCAGTTCTTGTTCTTGTTCTTCATGGTGGCTGTGACTAACATCCTTCACACCCCTCACACCTCTGACCTAACACCATCCCTTTCCATTCAGCAGGTGACCTGATTCCTGCTCCTACACATCTGGCAACGGGGTGACCAGAAGCAAGTTACTTATCTTCTGTAGCTCAGTGTCTGTAAATATCATTATAATTATAGGTGGTTAATTATATAACCACTTATACAATATAAGGCTCAGACAACAAAACATATATGAATCCCAAATAACAGCTGTTACTATTGTAGAAAAGCAGTATTGTGGAATACCCATGGATATGGCCTTGGGAGCTAGATGGCTTAGGTTAAATCCCAGTTCATCCATTACTACTCATGCAGCACTGGGCAAGTTACTGAACTGCTCTGTGTTTAGTTTCACTATCAGCTCTGGTAGCATAGTGCCTAAGGCACCTGACTGCTAACCAGAAGATTGGCGGTTCAAACCCACCAGCCACTCCTTGGAAGGAAGGTTGGGCAATCTACCTCTGTAGTGATACTGCCTCGGAAACCCAAGGAGGGGTCGCTATGAGTCAGGGCCGACTCGACAGCACATAACAACTGCATTGTGAGATTGAACTGAGTTTCAGTGTGTAAATGTGTTTGCTTAGGATTCAGGCAGTAAGCTTTATAAAAATGTCAGATGATATTTTATTGTTATTATAATTACTATTATTTCAGAGATAAATGATGAGCCCCCAGGCTAAAGCTCTTTCCACTTCCTCTCACTAACTCTGTGCATGCATATCTTTCCTCTTCTCCTTCAGCTACAAGAGTCAGTACCAGTTGCCACTGCATAGATTCTGATTCATGGTGACCCCACATGTGTCAGCGTAGTACTGTGCTCCACAGAACTTTCAGTGGTTGGTTGTTTGGAAGTGGACAGTTAGGCTTTTCTTCTGAGGCACCCCTGAGTGGATGCAAATTGCCAACTTTTTTTTGGTGGTTGACCGCATTAACCATTTGTACCCTTCAGGGACCCAAGTTACAAGAATGGTGTAAGAGTACAGGTGATTAATCTACCCTCCTTAGTTCTGAACCCCGTCATCTCAGGGACCTTCCAAGACTTCATCAATTATCTCCCTTTTGTTCCTATTTCATTCTCTACCATCAGCACATAAACTAACTCAAGATTCTCCCTTCTTGGAAAAAAGTCCCTCAAAATATGGCTCCCTTCAGCTACTTATAGCTTTTCTTCTCTTCTCAGTCAATTCTATAAGGAGTTGTTTATACTTGCTGTCTCCATTTCTTTACCCTGTACTCCCTGTTCAACACGTTGAAATGTGTTTTGCCCTTTTTCAGTCCTCTGAAACTGTTTGGATCAATGATGCCAAGGATGTCTGTCTTGATAATTGTATGGGCACTTCCAATCCTTCCCTTCCGTATCCTTACAATAGCACTTGGCATTATCCTTCACTCCACTCTTCTGAAGCACACTCTCCCTTTGGCTTCCTCTGTTTTTTTTTTTTTTTTGTAAACAACTACCTCTTAAACGTTGGAGATCATCAGGATACAGGTATAGGCCCTCCTATGCCACACACAGCACATTCTGCCTTGGTGATCCCATACACTGCAATGGTTTTTACCCATGAACCAGTTGCTAATCCAGTTGATTCCAACTCATGGTGATACCATGTGTGTCAGAGTAGAATTTTGTTCCATATGGTTATAAGTGATGTTTTGGAAGTAGATTGCCAGGGTTTTCTTGTGAGGCACTTCAAACCCCACATCTTTCAGTTAGAAAGCGAGTGCATTAACACCAATTGTATTGCCTGGGGACTCCTGCAATGACTTTAATTACCATGTATATATGCGTAAGGGATACTGCATGTTTTAAAATCAGAAAGGGTGTGCATCAGGGTTGTATCCTTTCACCATGCTTATTCAATCTGTATGATGAGCCAATAATCTGAGAAGCTGTACTATATGAAGAATGTGGCATCGGGATTAGAGGAAGACTCATTAACAACCTTCGATATGCAGATGACACAACCTTGCTTGCTGAAAGTGAAGATCAAAGACTACAGTGTTCAGTATGGACTATACCTCTCCATGAGGAAAACAAAAATCCTCACAACTGAACCAATAAACAACATCATAACAAATGGAGAAAAGAAGGAAGTTGTCAAAGATTTCCTTTCATTTGGATCCACAATCAACACCCATGGAAGCAGCAGTCAAGAAATCAGATGTCATCACATTGCACTGGGCAAAAAAATTTGCTGCAAAAGACCTCTTTAAAGTGTTAAAGCATAAAGATGTCACTCTGAAGACTAAGATGTGCCCAACCCAAGCCATATACATGTGAAAGCTAGTCAATGACTAAGGAACACCAAAGTAGAATTGATGCCTTTGAATCATGTTATGTTGGTGAAAAATACTGAAAATACTTCAGACTACCAGAAAGATGAACAAATCGGTCCTAGAAAAAGTGCAGCCGGAATACTCCTTAGAAGCGAGAATGGCCAGATTTCATCTCATCTGCTTTGGTCAAGTTGTCAGACGGTACCAGTCCCTGGAGAAGGATATCATGCTTGGTAAAGTAGAGGGTCAGCAATAAAGGGAAGACCCTTAATGAGATGGATTGACACACTGGCTACAATGACAGGCTTAAGCATAGCAAGGACTGTGAGGATGGTGAAGGACAAGGCAGTGTTTCATTCTGTTGTTCATGGAGTCACTACAAGTTGGAGCCAACTCAATAGCACCCAATGACAACAACAACACGTATGCAGATGCCTTCCAAAATCTGAGTCTGTAATCTAGATCTCACTCCTGAGTGTCAGATTCATATGCTCACTGGCCTTTTGGGCATTTTCATATGGATATCTCAAAGGAACTTTAATATCAACATGTCCAAATCCAAACTATAGTCTTCACAAAAGCTGCATTCCTTATATAAGTGAAGGACATGAATGTCTTAGCAGTAAGCCCAAAATCCGAGTGTGGTCCAGGCTCAGCCAGCACTGATTCTCATCTGGAAAATGTTACAGACTTGGATGGATCTCCTTGTCTCCTACATTTTCCTCTTATATCCCCTAGATACATCTTATCCAACTTAGTCATAGAAGCCCAACAACCCTATGCAAGGACTACTATTGGGAAGTGTTCTGAGTTTACAGTATTAAATCACATTTGGCTTGTCTCAGAAAACATGGGAAAAATGTGCTGAGTTGATAATGATATCAGAAGTAGCAATCCACTGTGTTATTAAACTTGATTTTTCTTGGCTAGAGACATAAAGATGGCATCAAAAGAATACTTTCTAATTAAATAAAAGAATTCACTCCTAACATTTACAAAAATCAGAGAATAAATCTGTGGTTAAGATACCATTAAATGAGAAGATAATTTAATAACCTCATAAGATGATGTGTTGGAAATCTACCCAAATAAAATTTTCACCCTCAAGTTATAATGAAAAGTGCTTTTTCTTGTGATCATGCCTGTATTTTTAATTTGGCAAGTGTTCTAACTAGATTCAGGAATAGACAAATTACAAAGGCTACAGAAACTCTTCAATTACCTAAAACAATTCTAGTCAGGTAATTGTCCAAAGTAAGGGATTTCAGTCTAAAATGTGTTTATGAAAATTATAATACTTTGGACATTATTTTTTTTCTTGAATTTGCACTACTAATATTTTCATAATTGTTTATCTAGGTAGAGATTCTCTAGGGACAAGAAAATAGGTCTTTTGGTCACTCTATTTTTGAGTTCAATTTACAAGAATAAGATATTTGCCAGTATCTCATCTAATGATAAAAATATAGTATCATTAAACATTTTCTTATATCTTAGCTTACTTGACATTTTATAGTTAGTAATATGGGCTTTGGAGATGATTGAATCTATCTAGCTCATAATCCTGCTTATATTTCTCATGTATAAAATGGGTAAAATGTATACCTCACAAAATTTATATATGCAACCACAGAGCATCCTTAAAGTAAGAGTTCAAAAAATTACAGTTACTATTATGATTACATTCATAGAAATTTTATAATGCAAAAGAGAATTTAGAAAGAACAGCCCATCCACTTACAAAGGAAGAAACAAAATATTATAGAGTTTAAGATTCTTTTCAATGTTTCATATTGCTGCAAAAAGTTACATTAGGGGGCAAAAGCCAAACAAACAAAAAATTAATCCTTGTTTTTGAGGATTTGTTTTTAATTAAGTTGGGGAATAGGACAGTTGTGGGAGAATAACAATCAGGGGTTTTAACATTATGCCTAGAGCTAATAAAGGAAAAGTTGTCTTTGTGTATGTGAGCCTTGAACTGAATTTGATGGAAGTGTGGGATTATGGGTAATAACGGAGGAAAGGCAAAGTAGGACTAGTATGGAGAAATTAGAGATGGGACTAACCTCAACAACTGACACAGTGTATGTTTTCATGGACAAAACATGATCACCATCAAAGTATTCAGAGCCTTACCCCTCACCAAAGTCTCTTGTTTTGATCTATTAATTGAGAAAAAAAAAGATATGATTAAACAGAGTGGAAGATACTTAAATTAAAAGCAACAAAACTAGTTCTACAACCCGTTGTGTAGAAATGCATCTACTAAAAGGTAAAAGGTTTAGAGAAAGGTCTGTTATCACATGACATGCTAACATGCTAATGTCTTATTCTAACATGCTAATCTCTCACTACCCACCATAAGTTGTTATATAATGAAGTAGTTTTACATTCAGATGCTTGGTTAAAAAAAGAAAAAAAAAATGCCCCCACTATAGTCACTATAGTTTGGGAATATAATTAGAGATGAAATTGTGAACTAGATACTATTTATCACTGTATTTTGTTTCAGTGTTTATTTTCTCTGCTGCTTGAATTTCCTTATGCCCAATACATCTTCATCAACATTTGCTGAGTACCTACAATATGTGAGGCTCTATGTTAGGCTCTAAGAATCCAAAAGTACATGTCCTTTCCTCAAGTAACTAAAAAGGTAGGGGAGAGAAAAGACTTGGAAGGAGGCACAGAGAACAGAGTCATTCTCATAAGATGACTGGGAAGAAGGAGTGAAAGTAACTGCTTCAGAATTACTAGAAGCAGACCCAAGGACAAGGTAATTTTTTCTTTTTATGTTTAGGAAAACATATTCTCCTTTATGAGAATATTGTTCAATATAGTGTTGGAGAATGAACCCTCTAGCTTGCAAGGCACTAAAAATATACAGTGGTTGCAACAGTAGATTTGAGCACAATAACTGTGAAGATGTGAAGGATGGGGCAATGTTGTGTTCTGTTGTACGTGGGATCGCCATGAGTTGCAGCAAACTTGACTGCAACTAGTAACAATTACAATTTTCATTTATAGGAGACATTCAGGTTCTAAGATGAATGTCAACCACTACTTCTACCAATAAAAAAAATGATTCTTATAATATTTGAACATTCAACTTCTAACAGTACTCATCTGAAAGCCAGCCCCACAAAACAAAATAATCCATATTTTAGAAATAAATACACTGTGATATACACACAGACTTGACTAGGATATCTATTCTATATTCTTCTCACATGATTGCTATCAAGACTTCTCAGTCATCTTATGAGAATGACTTGGCTCTCTCTGCCTCCTTCCAAGTCTTATCTCTCAGGTACCTTTTCAGTTACTTGAGGAAAGGGCATGCACTTTTGGATTTTTAGAACCTAACATAGTATTCTTGATAGCCTTCTTGATACCACTTGATAGCATTCTGAAGTGGTAAAGATTTTAAATAACACATTAGTTTTTTTCTCTGTTATCTGAAGTCTGATGTAAAATAATTGTTATGTTTATTACTTGCCCATTTGATTATATAAAACAGAAGGAAGCAATAGAAGAGACCAAATTAAACTAATTCAGATAACATTTATCCTTTTATTAATTTTAGGGAAATTTTCGTCATTGACTATCAGTACTTTATTTAAATACTTCTTTTTTTTTTATGGAAACCTAATAACAGATTAAATTTTAATATATCACATTGGAATAGAAAGCAGTTTTGATCCAAATAACTCACAACTTGAAAAACTCTGTTATCACACAAGAGCCCAAGAAATTCTATGTATATTATAGTTTTTAGAATTTGGAGAATGTAACAAATTAATTGAAATTGATTAGATCTTGCTCAAAGATTAGCTGAAAAACTAAAATACAACTGTGTTTCCTGTCAATTTCATTTTTCCCCAGCCATCTCTGCCTGTTCACGTAGTTCTTTGTGAGCTTTAGTTTGCCTCTTTTACACCTCTGAACAAGGACAATCTGCACATTTTACTGTCCTCTTTTTCTGCCCTCTGTGCTGGGATGTAGGAGTTATGACGGTGTAGTTCTTAAAGTAGTTAGCTGCTAACAAAAATGTTGGTGGTTCAAACCTACTAACAGTCCATGGGAGAAAGATGAGGCAATCTGCTTCCATAAAGATTTATATCCTTGGAAACCCTATGTAACAGTTTTACTCGGTCCTATAGGGTCACTATAAATTGAGATCTATTTGATGCCAGTGTGTTTGGTTTGGTTTGGTACTGAGTTGGAGACCATTTTGAATTGGGAAGTCAACAATTTCTCACTAAGTCCACTGGCATACATGAACTGTGAGGAAATAATGATGAGAAAGAAAATGAGAGGAAAAAGAGCATAAGAAATACAGACAAAGTTGGAATTGGAGAAAAAGAGTGGGTGGATCACTTAATTTTAGCCCACTGGAAATGGATTTAGTTCCTTTGGGAAACCCTGACAATTATGTCAAAGGACAGATAGTTTCAATGGATTATGACCTATTAATGAGTGGTGACACGACTTCAGTGGATCACAAGCTGCATTTTACATTTTAATAGAAGAGGAAATATAGAATATACTGAATTTAGAAAGAAAGAGTATTATTTTGAGAAACTTTAGGAGCTCTGGTGGCATAGTACCCAAGGCATTTGACTGCTAACCAGAAGACTGGTTGTTCAAACCCACCAGACACTCCTCAGAATGAAGATTGGGCACTGTACTTCCATAGTGATATTGCCTTGGAAACCTAAGAAGCGGTTGCGCTGTGAGTCGGATCTGACTCCACTGTAGTGAGTTTGTTTTTTTTGGTTTGTTTCAACTTATATGTATGTATGTATATATGTGTTTTCTGGATCATGATACAATTTTTTTTTTACTAAGGGTTGTCAAAAATGTTTGAAAACTACTTCAAAAAGAATATAATTTTATTATTATAATATTTCCATTGTAGAAAATTTGAAAAATAAAGTATAAGGAAAAATATTTATCACCCATAATGCCAGCATTAGAGAAAACCACTGTTAATATTTCAGCTTATTTTTTGCACACACACATACACAGACACAAAGAGATACACTTTACCTACATAGACTGTATACAGAATTTGAGAAAGTTCCAAAACAGTTTTTCTCCCCACAAAACTAACAACTCAGGTTTACAACAAAGATTGTGAAACTATGATTTTTTAAAATGACTTCTGAGTCATCACAACATTTTAAATAAATAATTCATTTGTTAATACAATACACTGTCAAATGATTTTGTGGTTGAAGGCATTTTAACATATTCTAATTCTTTAAAAAATATACTCTTTCTAGTTTGAAAACAACATCTTAGGAGTTGACTTAGAGTCTAAGGCAAGTATTGCCTCAAGTATATTCCATAAAACACTAGTCCCAGACACTCTGAAAAATTAGTTATGTTTACTTTTCTAGTCAGTTCTGCCTATTTAACTCCTTGGGAATTGCTGTTTGAAGCATTCAGTTTTGTGTGTGATTAAAAAAAAAATCTGTTTTTATTAAGATAACATTATACTAATGAAAGCAATATATCATTCCTTACCCTATACATTCTTGATAAATTAGCATTCCTATATGTAATATAGGAGCTCTGGTAGCATAGTGGCTAAGACACTTGCCTGCTAACCAGACGGCTGGCGGTTCAAACCCACCAGCCACTCCTCGGAAGGAAGGTTGGGCAATCCTACTTCCGTAGTGATACTGCCTCGAAAACCCAAGGAGGGGTCGCTATGAGTCGGGGCCGACTCGATGGCACATAACAACAACAACAACAACATATGTAATATGATACCATTGATATGGATGCTTCTTATCACTTAAAGGTTCTGAAAGACTTAGAGTACTGACTCACTGCTTGTGTTTCATAACATTTGAGTTTTTTTTTTCAAGTTATGTTGTTGTATTTTGAATATGCATAAATTATGTTGCATTGTATTGTTACACAATAGAAGAAGCAGTTTAAGTCCGGTTAATGTTCAAAATCTCTTGATTTTTTTCTCTTTTCATTTTTTGTCCCAGACAGACTTTAGGAAACACTACTTAGCACATTTGCTACACATTATCACAGGCCAGCCTTAATTGGGAAGGCAGAACTGTATTGATCTGACTCAGAGAAGCAATGATAAGTAAGTAACTGATGAAATCATCAAGGGAAGAAAGCAAATGAAGTGTGGCAATATCTTTACAAAATATAGTTGTAATTCATGTCATTGGAATCTTGAGAAGTGTTATATAAGGGGAAAAATCTGGTGGTTCAAAGGAGCTTGAAATTACTTATTTTTGTTGATAAACTGCAACAAAAAAACAGGAGACCTCTGGAAGGAATAGAAATAAAACAGTGACTAAATAAAGGGGACCAAGCTCTTTTGAATTCTGGCAAAATTGTTGATTGATTAGTCAGCATATGACTCTGAACTTGAGAACAGGAAAGAGAGGCTCATGCCCTGCTGAGCTGGTCAAGGACGTCTGTGTAGCTCCAGGAAGGGAAAGAACAAACCCAACTCTACCCAAGATTTTAGTGGAAAGAAAAGCCTACCAGGAAAGCCGCACACTTGAATAGAAAGCAGCTCTACTTCTGCACTCTCCTGAGCTAGGTGAAAGGCACAAACATAATAAAGAAGTTGGAACCCTGGTGTGAGCTCAGTCCCACTGAGTGCATTTGAAACTGAGTAAAGTCAAAACTCAACTATTTCCCCCACCCTGGTTAGAACAGATGGTTAGGATAGATAGGACCCCAGTTGGAAAGAAATAAGTAAACATAATTACTCTCAACTATTTCCCCGCTCTGGTTAAGACAAATAGGACCCTGGGAGACAGATGAGTAAACACAGTAAGCTCAGTTCCTTAAGAACTGAATGGAAGGAACAAAAAGCAGAATTTGCACATTCTTTCCTGCTATTCCCCTAGAAACAGGTGATAAACACTTTAATGTGTCTTAGAAAACAACTTGAAAATTAACTTTGGCCCACGCACACATGTGTTGGGGCATGTAGGACCAAAGTTGCTGGGAACTGACATTCTCCCCTCGGCCTAAGCCCCGATCAGCTGAAGACAGGAAGCCAGTATGACTCATCTGGTGTGCAAGCGCCCTGCATTAAAAAACAACTGTCCCTTTAAACCAAGGCAAAGGAAATTTCAGCCAGTCGCCAACTATCTCATGCCCACATTCCTGAAAGTTTTATGAATATGCATAACACTGTGTCCTGAAACTTACCAAAACTGTAATTCGATTTAGATTCGAGGAGTCAGATCTGGTCAAAGACCCCTGCCTCCTTGCATTGCCCCTTTGCAATATATAATTTTCTCTCCTCTTAATCACTCGGTATGTAAACTGTTTTGGCCTGACTGCACACCGGGTGGGGACCCACGTTTGGTCCTGTTTCATATTCATCATCACTGAGTTCCTATTACCATCATAACTTTGCCAAGAGCATTTGGAAGATTTGATGAGTGGGGAAAGACCACTGCTTAATTCAAACAAAAGAGTGTAGTTGATAAGTCCTACTTTGGATCTTTCTTGATAATAAGAATTAATTGAAATTTACATAGATTTTGGAAAATAAGTTGTCTCCCAATAAACTACTCCTTACCTGACTTTCATTTTGGAAGGTAGGAACTAAAAGTAGTAAACTAACTGCCATCCAGTTACTTCTGGCTCATGGGGACCCCATGGGTGTCAGCAGAACTGTGCTCCACAGGGTTAGCAATGGCTGGTTTGGGGAAGGGGATCACCAGGCCTTTCTTTTGAAGCACCTCTGAGTGGACATAAACTCCTAACCTTTTGGTTAGCAGCACACCAATCAAGGACTCCACAGGGGGTCCCCATGACTTGAACTCAACAGGGACTAATGAGTATTATAATAGGCATATTCTGAATACTAACTTTATTTGACTTTTTAGATATCCCCCCTTTGAGAAAATTACCCTGAAAGGAAGTGACGTAAAGAGGAAACCCGCAGGACTTACATCTCTCCCAATCAGGTCCTCCTGGTTCTCCACAATTCCCCAGGGGGCAATGCCTATGGTGCATATCTTCCCCCGAGATTTTGATGCGTGGTCCTTCAAGGCATCTCCCACATGACGAATAACACCTAAGAGGAAAAACACCAGTATTAATCTTGCCTTTTTAAAAAGCAATTATGTTTCCATTGTTCTAAAGGAAACTGTGACAACTATTCAACTACATGTACTTAGAAGAGAACATAAACTTAACTTCAGTATTCCTAGATAAATTTGTCAGACTATGTATGAATCTAGCAATGCATTTCTTATTCTAAATTATATGAAAAAAGTGAAAAAGCATCCAGTGGGTATAAAAAGAATAAATAACAATTCTTTAAATATAGAGAAACTTTTTTTTCCCCCTGCAGTGTACCCTCCCTTCCCACCCCTGGTAACCAACAAAGAGAGTTTCCTTCCATATATAAACCTTTCCTTGACTTTTTACAGTAATGAACTAATACAATATTTGTCCTTCTGTGATTGACTTATTTCACTCAGCATAATAATGTCCTCCAGTAAATACAGAGAAACTTTTTCTTGTATTATGAAATATATGGGAGCTCTGACAATAACAACATGAAATATAAAATCATTACATAATATATAATGATATGTAAGTATGACTAAGAACTAAGACCTTAACTGTATTCTGTAAAAAGCACCATGCATAATACTATATCAATACAACAGTTTGTATATGAGTTAGAATCATTCGACTAGTTATTTAGCTCACATTTTGTTCGTCTTAATTTTATTTTCCTACATATGAATACGGGAGCTCTGGTAGCATAGTGGCTAAGGCACTTGACTGCTAACCAGAAGGCTGGCGGTTCAAACCCACCAGCCACTCCTCGGAAGGAAGGTTGGGCAATACTACTTCCGTAGTGATACTGCCTCGGAAACCCAAGGAGGGGTCGCTATGAGTCAGGGCTGACTCGACGGCACATAACAACAACAACAACATATGAATACACAACATGGAGAGCTTTCTTGTAAGGAAAATGCTGGCATATTCTGTGGAGAATTAATGTTAAAAATAATTTAAACACACTTTTTTATTTTCATCACCCTATTTATTTTTCTCCTTTATCATCATGAACTTCCCTGCCATATTGTTAAAAGTTAGTGCAATTTACAATTTAGGAACCTAAATTTAGGAACCTACCTCTCAGTTTTCCAGCAAACCACTTAGAGAAGATAAAAGTTCTAACCTTTTAATTTCCCTCTCAAATGATCATTCCTTATGGAAGAATTATAAAATATATTCTCTCAGAACAGATATTTTCACTTATCAAAATTCTACTATTTCTCAAGGAAAAAAACCCCATCCAGTTTCATCTCCTATGTGAAAGCTGAGTTAATTTGATTTTGTCTTCATGCGAACAGGATTCCATCTCTATTGGCAATGTCAATATGTCACCTTACACATTCTACCATGATTCACAACCACATGTGAGGATGTCTCCTCTAACAGTAAAACTCCTTGAGGGGAAGGTTAGAAGTTCATCTCTGTGTTCCTCTGGGGTTAGCACAGAGTAAAGGCTCAGAAACTGTGTACTCCACTAACTAAACACACAATCATGCAAGGCAACTTAATCATGGGAGAGGACTAATGTGGTAAATTGCTCATGAGATATTCATAAGATCAAATGGAAGGATTTTCCTTTAAACAATCAAACAGTAAAATAATGCAAATGGCTACTAACTCATGTTGAGCTATGCTTGGAGAGCTGGGAAGAATACCAATTTCACTTGCTAGTTTAGCTTTGGATTTTCTAAATGAAAGGATTGGTAAACAAAAACAAAAGTAAACCTACGAATACTGGTATTCAATTATTTCTCATTTGTTTTGTAAAGCTCCTTCTGGAGCCAATCTGGGACAAGAAATTTAGCTTCGTAGTTTCCCTTCATATTTGCTGCCATGGTTTATCTTCCCATTACCTTTTCCCTATCCCAAGTATCCCACCACTGGAACCTCATTTTGTGTTCTGAATTGAACACCAGTCTTGGAAAGTGAGACAGAGTTGTATTCTTTGTTTTGAGTAATTTATGTTGTAAATTCTTTCTTTTAAAATTGGGTGTATTTCATAAAAGAAGAAAAACAATAAACAATGTTCCAAGTTCCCAGAAGTAAAATATTAGTAAGAGTTTCTTTGGAATGTCTAGAACCATTTGAGTTGGTCTTCATATGAAGTCCAATGAGTATAGAAAAGCAGTTGACTGGACAATCAAGCAAATGATTCTAACTGAGCTATGAGAGTAACTCGGCTCCTAAAAGTTAAACAATCATTGAAATAAATTGCTCTATAGATGTTTGATTATTATAAGATAAACAATAAAGAGATGACTAAGCAGGCCAGTCTAAGATCACACAGTTCACAGACTGAATCAAGATTTCGTTTAACAGCGTTGGGCACTGGCAGTCTGCAGAATTTACTGCTAAAACATTATCTGTGTCGTTGTATGTTGAGTGTCCCAAATTCTAGGTATTTAGGAAAACTGACGGTATACCTCACTCAAACATCTTGCAAATTACAAACAACAAAACATATTGCTGTTAATTAACATTTTATTTGAATTGGACAAAAAAAATCCTAGTTAGTCCCCAGTTATTTTCAGAAAGCTTTACTAATTCCAAATGGATTTTGAAGTTCATTGTTGTTGTTATGTGCCGTCGAGTCGGACCTGACTCATAGAGACCCCTCCTTGGGTTTCCGAGGCAGTATCACTATGGAAGTAGATTGCCCAACCTTCCTTCCGAGGGGTGGTTGGTGGGTTTGAACCACCAGCCTTCTGGTTAGCAGTCAAGTGCCTTAGGCACAGCACTACTTCTGCATTTCCAATTGGGAGTTCTGACTTGGGCTGAGGAAATATGTCAAAAATGTTTAAGGCATCCATTATATTATTTGTTGCATATTAATGCTCCACAGATAAGCACTTTGCTATAAGTGAGTTTGTTAGAATTGATTTGACAACTTCCTATGTCATAATATACAAACTCATTTGTCAGGAAGAAAAAACTATTTGGAATTTATAGTACGGTGGGTTTTCTAATGGTGCAGGAGTGATTTAAAGAAATATTTTAAACACTAAACACATAATACCCTGTACTTTGCTACAATAATTTATGTTCCAGATCAAATGGTATTCTATAAAATTAAAGCTATTTGGCACCAAAAGTAAAACTGCTTATAGGACAAAGTCAGAGATTGCATTTAAAGCAAAATGTATTACTTTAAAAGCAAACTATTGGATGCTTATATGGAAACTTGGGCTATTGAAAGTATCCCACATATTGAAAGTAATCAATGCACTGTCATGTTGAAAATTCTGTAGTCAACTTTTAAACATCCCCACTTGGTGCTTATGTTAAAGTAATTCTTCTGTATCAGGAAATAGCTATACAGTTATCATTTAGGTAAAGGAGGGAGAGAGAATCAGTGAGAGGAGAGAAAACCACCAAGTGTAAACACACTTGGCTGCTAAACAAAAAGGCTATGGTTTGATCCCACCACCTACTCTGTGGGAGGAAGATGAGGCAGTCTGCTCTCGTAAAGAGTTATAGCCTTGGAAACCCTGTGGTGCAGTTCTACTCTGTCCTACAGGATTGTTGTGGATTGGGATCAACTCGATGGCAGGGGGTTTGATCTGGGTTTGGTGAACACATATAGGTAGAGGATGAGGTAGGGGGATATAATGGCTTTTACCCTCAGGAGAAAACAATTTTAGTCACAACATTCTCATGGTCTATACCTTTCTCTATACCACTTCCAATTACCTGTGTTAACCCCTCCAGTGAATATCCACGCTCCAGTTGTCATGGCAGCTTTGATGAGACCTTTCCCAAAGACTTGCTTGAGTTTTGGCTGGAGTTCAAAGTTCTGCAGTCCCCCATGGACAGAGATGAGAAGCTTGGGGAGCTCCAATTGCCATTCCTTGGTCATCAGGTGCAGGAGGAGATCAGGCTTTGTATCGAAAGACACACGCACGTACTAGAAGAAGAAAGGCTGTCAATTAGGAACAAGGGGCCGGGTTGGCTGGGGCTATGTATCTATATATGTAACTGAGGCTTTACAGTTATATTTGTAATTGATTTCAGAAACCTTCTCATGTGGAAACAGATTGTTTTAAAGGGGTGATCGTTTTCTTTGCCAAGAGAGCTTTGATTAGACAAAGGAATTCACTATTTCTAAAAGCTTCCTTAAAATTGTGGACTACTATCAACTTAAACTTTTTTTTTTTCCTAAAATTTGGTGCAGATTCATTTCTTTCTATAATGAATTATTTCCTCAAAGGACATCATTTTATACCATCTTTTACCTTTGTGTCACAGTTCATATGTTTCTATTATTATCAATATAGGTCATCCCTTTATAAGAACTGGACCTAGATATAACTATTTCCAGTATTTTGAATGGTTCTGAAAAATCCTACATTTCCCCATAGTGTAATGAGAATTTTATAATATAACACCTCATTGTATTCATTTAACTCTATAACTGTGTACCAAATATATTTCTATTTTGAAGAAAACAAATGAAAAAATGCATGTAAATTATTGATTGAGAGTAATTAAAAAATTAGAGTTTACAGCAGATATCAAAGTCTTACCAGATCCAACTGGAAATAAAGTAGTAAGTATAAATGAAATATTATGCATGTATATAATGACAAACACCTATATGACCATAAAGATAAATACTCATTTCAATCTCAATGCATATTATATAAATATTTCTATTTGTATCTGGGAACAACTAAAATCCTAAGCAAATATATTTGAGAGCCTTTTGAAATGCACTGATGAGCTAGTATGAAAAGAAGGAATATTGAGACTTTTAAACAAAGAAGAAGCTAGAAACTAGGGAAGTAAGTAAGCACCAAAGGAGGCTTTGACCCTGAGGGTCTCTGCTAACTCCTGGAGACCTTGTACATCTGCTTTAATGGTTTAATGGGAAGCTTTCTAGGGGTTCTCACATAAGACTGGGATCCTTTAAAAAACAAATATAAGAGGGAAAACATGTATAAGTCTGATGGACCAACCAAAGAAAAGACCAAGGAAACTTGCCTACCTCAAACTTGGTTTTGGATGAATGGGGAACAAAATACCCTGGATATTTATAAACACAAGCAGGCCTTTCACACAGGGTTTTGGTCCATATTTACACCATCAGTGTGGTTTGAAAACTATGAAGTGGAATACTGAATGTAAACTGGTTTTGGTTGGATAATGCCCCAGTTAACTAGCAGAAGCAAATGCAAATCTTCTATTGGGAAATGCATTGTAAATCCAGATCTCAAATAATTCCCACAGGAAAATAAGCACTTAACGGTAAAAAAAATTAAATCACAAATTACACAAGGACTAAAGTTGTGTGAATAAGCAGAAACAACAGGCATCAGAATAAGACTCTAAAAGATACTGAAATCACAAGATACAAAATATAAAACAATTATGCTTAATACGGGAGCTCTGGTGGCCTAGTGCTTAAGGCATTTGACTGCTAAGCAGAAGGCTGGTGGATCAAACCCACCAGCCACTCCTTGGAAGGAAGACCAGGCAATATGTTAAAAAAACACACATGAGAAGATTGGCTATATAAGCAGAAAACAAGAGACTCTAGAGAATGATCCTATGAATTTGCAAAGTAATCCAATAGATCTAAAAATCAAAATGTAATCATTTAAATGAAAAAATACAATGGATAAATTAAACTAAATTAAGAAACTAAAAATAAAACCTGAGAAATAAGATCGATGCAACTTAGAAGGATAAAGGAATTGAAAACATAAAGGGAATTTAAAAACCATGGAGGAGCTAATCATAATTTTAGATAAAAAACAGAAGCAAGAAGGAGAGGAAGAAATATTTGAAGAAGTTATTTACTAGAAATTTCTCAGAAGTGTTGAAAGTTATCAGTCTTCAGGTCCAAGAAACTCAATGGATCTCAAGGAAGATAAATAAATGGAGACCTCACTCAAATACACATCACAGAGAAGGACAAACGGAGGGGACCTTAAACACAGCTGGAAAAAATGATGCATCATCTACAAGAGTCATTAGACCAAAGGCTTCCTCCTCAACACTAGCAAAGGACGCCAGAAGCCAGCATCCTCACTGTACAGAGAGGAATAATCAGTTGGTCTAGAATTCTATATTCAGTAAAAGTATATTTCAAAAGTGACAGCAAAAAATATCTTCAGACATCCAAAACTAGAGGTTTTACCTCTAGCAGCACTCACTGAAGGAAATGTCAATGTATATTAGCAGGCAGAAGAAACATGATTCCAAATGGGTGGTTTGGATACAAGAAAGAATGGTACAATGATATTAACAAGGATGACTTAAGGCACCTACTGATGAAGGTTGAAGAATACAGTCTGCAGTATGGATTACATCTCAACATAAAGAAAACAAAAATCCTCACAACTGGACCAATGAGTAGCATCACAATAAATGGAGAGAAGATTGAGGTTGTCAAGGAATTCACGTTGCTTGGTTCTACAATCGATGCCAATGGAAGGAGCAGTCAGGACATTAGACGACGTGTAGCATTTGGGAAGTCAACTGCGAAGGAACTGTTTCAAGTGCTGAGGAGCAAGGATATCTCCTTGAGGACTAAGGTGCGCCTGACACAAGCCATGATATTTCCAATCGCCTGGTATGCATGTGAGAGCTGGACAATGAATAGGGAAGACCGAAGAAGAGTTGATGCTTTTGAGTTGTGGTGCTGGCGAAGAATGCTGAAAGTACCGTGGACTGCTAAAAGAACTAACAGATCTGTCCTGGAGGAAGTGCAGCCAGAATGCTCCTTGGAAGCAAGAATGGCCAGACTTCGTCTCACCTATTTTGGTCATGTTGTAAGAAGGGACCATTCCCTGGAGAAGGATGTCATGCTTGGTAGGGTGGAGGGTCGACGAAAGAGGGGGAGGCCTTCAGGGAGATGGATTGATACGTGGCTGCGATGATGGGCTCGAGTATAGCAGGGATTGTGGGGCTGGTGTGGGATCGGGCAGTGTTTCGTTCTGCTGTGCATGGGGTCGCTATGAGTCGGAAACGACTCGACGGCACTTAACAGCAACAACAACATAATATTTATCATAAATATATGATACATCTAAAGAAGGATTGGTTGTATAAATGATAATAACAGTATCTAATTTATGGGGGGAAGGGGATTAAGCTGAAACACTGGTCAATTATAGCACACATATTAGGAGGGAGTAAGTAGAGTTATAGCATTCTAAAGTCTGTGTGTTGTCTGGTAGAGAAGATAAAAAATACTGATTAACTTTTAAATTTGTTAAGTATATTAAAGTTGTATAACCACAAAAAGAATAGCCCTGTATGCCATCATACAAATACATACTTTTGGATATATAGATAAATGATACTATAACAGGAGATGCTAATTTATTGCCATATTTTGGGGTCTAGATTAAAAAAAACCTAAAAAATTTGACATCTATTCCTTTGTTAAAAGGAGCTCTGGTGACACAGTGCCTAAGGCATTTGCTTGCTAACCAGAAGGCTGGTGGTTGAAACCTACCAGCTGTTACACAGAAGGAAGATGGGGCAATCTACTTCCGTAAAGATTTACCATCTTGGAAACCCAATGGGGGTCGCTATGAGTCGGAATCTACTTGATGGCAATGAGTTTGGTTTTTGTTTTTGGTATTCCTTTGTTAAAGTATATTTGAAATATATTTCAAAATTATATGAGTTACAAAATTTACACAAGCACAAAATATGAAAGCAGGTTGATACCATAAATTGCATCATCAAGAAATAGCAAAGAGCTGAAGCTTCATATAGTCATATACCAGAATTCTAAAAGTGTTGGGACCCCTTATAGTTGGTTCTACACTTTTTTGATCTACATCACTGCCATCGAGTGGATTCTGACTCATAGTGACCCCATAGGGCAGAGTAGAACTTCCTCTTAGGGTTTCTAAGGCTGTAAATGTTTACAGAAGCAGACTGTCTCATCTTTCTCCGATGTGTCTGGTGGGTTCAAGCAGCTGATCTTTTGGTCAGCAGCTGAATGCTTTTAACCACTGCATTATCTTAGCTTTTTTTGACCTACATAGACAGCAATTCCAGAATAAAAAGAGTACTTGTCAATTTTCACCAAGCACATTTTACCAAGTGAATTTAACTTGAGTTTCCAATAAGAGAAATGATATATTTTGTGCACAAACTCATATGCAGACAGCAAGAACTTTCAGATAGCTATCAAAAGAAATCTCAACAACAATGTCCACTATTGTGCTCTGCAAGCAGCCTTGGGGCTGGAGACAGGTAATTGCAGGAGTACAGGCAAACACAAGTCCTTTTTAAATAAAAGCTTCTTCATCATATCCATTGAGTGATTCTTTGTAGGAAAAATATGTAGATAACAAAAGCTATAAGATTAAAGAATGAAATGTTGTCTGTGCCTGTACAGAAATCCTATGCCCAATCTATGATACTCGAGTAGTTAAAATTTGGTGATGTTGCTGGATTGAATTTATATCATTTTGACTAATTCCAGAAAGGGATGGTTGTAGAATAAAGTAGGAAATCACAAGACTTCCAAACTATACAAACTGAAAAATATTTAGCATGAAAAATGTTAATAAACTGCTTTTTAAGCTACTATTCTCATAATCACTAACTATAATGTGAATGTTCTTATTCCTCCAGAAAAAAAAAAAAAAAGCCTAAGGTGAAATATAAATTATACTTTTCTTAAATATAATGAGTTCTGGTGGTCCTTTTCTACTTTCTGGCCTAAGTCATTTGATTGCTAACTAGAAGGCTTTGGTGGTTCAAACCCACTAGCTGCTCCATGGAAGGAAGATAAGGCATAAACATTTACTACCTTGGAACCCAATAGGGGTCACCATGAGTCAGAATCTACTCAATGTCAGTGGGTTTTGCTTTCTTAAATACAGAAAAAATTCTAAAGTGTAAAGATACCCCCAAAATTAAGTTTCTGCCTGCAAACCT